ACCCTCAAGTTTGATTCTGTTTCTAGCGGAGTTCCCTTCAGAACCTCACCTCGTGCTTGCTCAGAGGGCAAGTCAGCTCCTGTCAGGTGGAAGGCCATTCTAAGCAGAGGGTACCCGGGAGTCAGTGGACCAAGCTAAGGTTGTCACAAAGCATTCTGTGTAGTTTCATCAGGATTCTTGGCCTCTCCTTCCTTCCTGTCCTTTCCTCTTTCTGTCTGGTTTTGGTTTTGGCCTTTGAGAATACTTAGTTTTACGAGATGTTTGAGCTGTTACATATCCTTGTACCAGAAAGAATGAGTCTAACTGCTTTGCAAAAGATTTCTGCAAAAAGCTTCCCTTTTATACTGAGGGGAATGACATATGATCAGCCCTCCACATGCACAGGTCTGGTGTCCATAGACACAGAGGGCCAGCTCTACTACACCATTTGTGCCAGACTGCAGCATCCTTGGATTGTGGTATCCATGGGGTCCCAGAACCAGTCTCCGACGGTTATCAAGAGACAACTGTACATCTGTGTTAAGCCTGTTATTTTGTTCCTCCTGATTTATTCTTTCTGCAGGTCCATTTGATTATTGTCATTGAAATTCCTTGTAGTGTACCAGTTAGCAGCTATCTTTTTCTTAGACACAGCGCCTAAAGTAATCGTAGGTGCTGTAAGCACATTAAGAATACCTTGAGCTGGCCAGTTTGGAGGACCGGCAACATTATCAGGATCTTTGTGACAGTTTCTCTAAAAATTCCTATGGTGCCATTGCCTGTGAATTTCTTTAGATGCTAGTTTATGCACTTTTTCTTCAGAAGCCGTCTCGGTGGTGTGGGAAGTGTTAAGAGTTAGCTGACACTCTGGAAGTTTAAAAACAAAGAAAAGCAAGATGAAGAGAAAACCTGCTGTTCGATCCCATGTATATTGCTAACTAGCTCTATAATCCTGAACAGGATGCTCTGTATCTCAGTCATACTTTCCCATGTGGAAATAGATTTTATATATCCCCTGTTTGTAAGGATCAATCAAGATGACGTTCGTGAAGAATGCCTTTGTAAACTATAATTGCTTTGTGAATAAAGATTACTATCTCTGATAGTACGAGTTTTCAGCCACCAGTAACCTGATTCTCCCATCGTGTGCTTGGAAGAAGCACAAATCTACAAAAAGGGCTTGCTGATTTTTCAGTGTAAGTTGTATTCACAAGGCTCACATACTTTCCCCCTGCCTTTGATCCTGCCTGTCTCTCTCCGTTCTTCAATGGGATGACCTGTTATGTCACACAGCAGCCGTGTTCTCAGTATAAAGTAGAACTGTGACTGTGCTTGTGGGAGACCTTCAACAAAGACACAGGGCTGCTGCCAGAAATGTTCTTTCGTTTCCATTTTCTCCTGTACCTCCTAGTACCTTAAGATCCTTGGGCTTGGTTATAAACCAGCTAAAACTTAAGGTAGAGTCTCAATTCTCTGACCCAAGTTCTTTTCACAGGTCACAAAATGGAGTTATCAAGTCTCCAAAAGCAGCAGATGAAAAGGGAGATGGAAATGTGCATGTTGAATTTAGCAGCCCTCAGGCACAGATTATGGTACTCTCCCGTGTCCCTGCGGTGGAGAGCAAGGACTCGGTTTGCTGTTCAGAAGTTTGATTCTCTCTCAGTCCTTGCAGCTTCACATTAAGATATACTGAGGAACGCATCTGTGTGACTTTGTCAAGTGAGGGCTTTCGGCGTAGGAGTATTCAAGCAGGTTTTAATCTAATTTAAGCCTAATCTCCAACGACTGAGAAAGGGGGTGGATGTCTTTGGTTTTACTTTCAAATATATGGTGGTACACCTTTAGGAGCCAGATGTGGTTAATCAGACTTGCAGTCTTATGGGGTTGCTTCAGGGGATGGGGTTGCTTCAGGGGCCTTAATAAACAACCCACTAATTCAAATGATTAATAAAATTTCTAGTGTGAATGAAGATGGTAGGTATTAGACAGTGAAATGTGGACAACCAAACAGTGATGAAATCATCCTACCCAACTCCCCACAGGTTGTTTCCCTAGGAGACACTGGCAGATCTTGACTCTATGAAACCCGAAGAAAAGACCTGACAGGCATGGGAGGAGTACAGCAGGTGTCACGCCTGTGCTTGGTATATCAGAGCCGCTGATGTATGATAGCAACTGGGGACTCAGATCATAAGTCAGCCATTCGAGTTTTTTCCGTGTCTGTTTATTCTTATTCAAACAGTTGGCTGTTTTTCAACAGTGATGGCTTTCACAACCATTTTGTATTCCTTAGCAGTGGTCTCTGGTAGCCTTATAGCTAGCCATGTGCAGGTGGAAAAGAAAGGGCCATCTTAGTTGTAGATAGAGCACCCTGAGAAACAAGAGATGGTGCATGGGGAATCCCCTGGTGGTCCAGTGGTTAGAACTCTGTGCTTCCATTGCAGTGGGCACAGGTTTAATCCCTGGCCAGGGAACTAGGATCCTATAAGCTCTGCAGTGCAGCCAAAACAAAACTATACATGACCTTTGTAACATGAGCTGAAGGTGATCTCCAGTTGATCCCCTATGAGTACTCCTAGCAGGGGTAGTTCCCTACCCTTGACAGAAAGTCCTCAGAGGCTCCTGGAACATCCATCCGCGTTTGTTATCTGAGAAGTAGAATGTGCTCCTTGCCTTAGGAATTCCTGAATCTACTGATGCCTCCAAGTGGTGAAATCAGAGTTTGCAACTGACCGCATGCACAGTAGTGCCTTGTTCTGCTGGCACGTTCACTATTCAAATAGCATCCCACATGCTTTATGGACGGGTGTGTAGATGTGCACTATGACAGCAGAACCTTCCTCCAGAGCTACTGTGTGCTGACCACTCCAGTCTTCCAGGCATAGTTGGATGCATTCAAGTCTTTTTTTTTCATTCCATAAATGCTTATTAAGTTCCTTTTCTGTACTAAGTAGTGGGCTGACTACTGATAACAAAAGACCAGCAAGATTTAGCCTGGTTGATCAGATATGGTCCAGCAATTGAAAACTTACACTAAAGGCTGTCATAAAAATATAGGTTCTGATAGGCAGTGACCCTGCCCTTATGAAAGCTTAGTCTTTCAATAGATTGAAATGGGGTGTGAAATATTAACCCCTGACAAACAAGTGAGAAATACACTTATTAAGCCTAACTATATCCCATGCTAAGCACTTGCCATGAATTAATTTATCTTCATAACCACCTTATAAAGTACACATACTGTTACTCCTACTTTACAAATAGAGGAAACTGAAGCTCAGAGAAGTTAAGGACCTTTGCTGAAGGTCATGGAGTGGAGGCAGGATACAAATTTAGGGAACTTGACCGAGATCCATACTCTTAAATGACTTAAATGACATACTGCCTCTGAATGGAAGGATACCATCTTGACCAACCTCCTATATGATAGGCTTGGCAGAGTGATAATCCCTGATCCTCCCTGTCTGCACAGCGGTCTCTCTTTCCTAGATTGGCTCCTCCTAGATAGGGCAGCTTACCCTAACCTTCAGAGTGAGCAGGAGTTGCCAAGTGCAGCCTGTAGCCACTTACCTATAGCCCTAGAAGTTAATCTGACTCTGCCTTTGACGAGCTAGGTAACCTTTCCTCTCTGAGCATGTTTCCTCATCTGTGAAGTGGAGAGAATGATCATGGGATCATTTAGAGGTTAAAGAATATAACAACACACTTAATTTTTGGCTCTGTGTGAGCACTTCAAGTTGGTTAGCAAATTTTTGTTATCATCATCCTTTGGTCTTGAGAGCAAACCATGAAACAGTTTCTCAGAGATCAGATTCTAAGACCTAGGTAGGTGGGCAGGTTTTTTTTGTTTGTTTGTTTTGACAAGACAATAATTTTATTCTGTGTATTTCTCTTGACTCTTTTGGTGTGAAAAGCAGAGAGGTAAAGCATTATTTGACAGATGTTTGGATTCAAGCAAGAAACTGAGGTCCAATTGCAAAGAAATGCCTTGTATAACTCAGAGCCCTGTCTGAGGAGACACAGAGGACCCTAGAGGGCGGAGAATGAACACAGCGCAGGGGCTAGTTCCAGAGTCGCATCCTCGGTTAGTTCACTTGCAAATGTGGGTGAGGGTCCCTTGTCATTAGGCAGAGATTTTTTTTCCCCTCTGCTCTAACACCTATCAGCTGTCTAGTGTTTATTATTAAGCAAAATTTATTTCATTTTTCTTGGTGTGAAAGAATTCGTGTCTTGTCCAAAATGAATAGGCAAAGGAGCTCTGTAACTGCAGGCTTGTTGAACCCCTTTTCCCCACCTGTTCCTGTGCCAGACTTTCCCAAAGTGCTCACTTGCCAGCGGTTGCTCCTCACTTCTCACGGCCAGCTCACTCCGAAGGGTCCACGCCGCAGTGACGCTGCCGCCGCCGCCGCCACCACCAACCACTCAGTTTCCTGCTCTAAGGATGTGACCTGCTGTGAAGCTTTCACAGTCCTCTTTCCTTCCTGTCTTCAGTGTTGTATCTCTTTCTTTTGGTGCTTTTGCCACGCAGCAGTATTACAAAAAAAAAAAAAGTTTCCAGGCACCAAAGTGAAGAATCCTTACTACCTTACCACAGGGATTTGAGCTAGCCATGGCAAAGAAGGAAATTATGAGGGCTCCTGCCTCTGTGCTGAGAAGGCAGGAGTTTGCTTCTTGATAGTGTGCTAGCTCCCTAGCCAGGTGGGGGACTTGCTGGGATTATATGACTTCTGGAGGAATAGACCGGGCCTAACCTGCCCAAAGACAGCGCCCCCAACCCACCGGAGCCAAGGCCAAAGACTGATCTCGCCTTTTCCCACTCCCTTTCCCTAAGCTTAAGCTTGCTCTGCCAGCAGACACTGCCCTAAGACTGTGGCTTTTAACAGCCATTTACTTTTGTCCATGAATAATAAGCTCACTCTTCGTAAAATGTTTCAGCTGGGGACTGGAAAGGCTCTCTGTGCCTTCCTGTCTCTTCATTTCTCCTAGGGTTAATGTTGATGGCTCTGTCTTTGTCTTTACAGGGAACTCTAATGATCCATGACAAAGAGGTCACGCTGGAGTATGTACCAAGCCTGGACTTCTGGTACTGCAAATGGGTGAGTGTCCAGAATTCGTCTGTTTAGAAGTAAGGATCCAGTGTCACAGTTCCTCCGTGTTTCCAGGAATGCTGTGTGGTGTATTATACATTGCCAAGGGCAAAGTTCTTCTTTCTTGGTTCACTTCAAATGAACTGGAGGTCAGGGCAAGGTCATCCCAGCTACTGCCTGTGGCCATAGAGGATTCAAGACCTGTAGATGGAGACCTTTTCCCAGGGACATATGCCATGTTTTTGTTGATTTTGAACTGAAAGAAAGTCCCTTGATTTAAAGCCTATCCCCGGTTACCTTTCCTGGGAGTAGTTAAAGAGTATTTATTAATATTTCAAAAAATCTATATACAGAGGCTGGATCTATGAGAGGTATACATTTTTTTCAGATATTCAGGGGTTTCCAAGGATATAGAACTTCAGGTAACGTAGTATTTGTCCTCTGTTTAACTTCATCTTCTTGAATGGTATATTTAAAGATTTTAGGCTATACTCTTTTTAGATGTCCAGTTTGATTGCAAATGAGTGTGAACATACATTTTATCATTTTTCATCACACTATTTAGTTTCAAAAGTAAGTTTGAAAAGTCTGTAAAGTCTCTGAACCAAGATTCACTAAAAGTTGATAAAATTAAATAATGGTTTTAGCTTGACATTTTGAAATACAACTTGAATAGATATAGTTATCATTAACCGAAGCATTCATAGTTCATGGATATACACCAAGAGCTGTCAATTTAGAAAGATATTTAATTATTTTTTAAATGGTAATGAACTAAACATAACATTAAAGTTTGCTGTTTTAACCATTTTAAAGCAGGTAATTCAGTAGCCTTCAGTACTTTCACAGTGAAGTGCAATCACCAACACTAATTTCTAGAACTTTTTCTTCACCCTGAAGGAAATCCTGTATCTTTTAAACAGTCATTCCCCATTCCCCTTTCATTCAGTTTCTGGAAATCACTGTTCTGTTTGTATCTCTGTGAATGTGCCTATTTTTAGCATTTCAGGTAAGTAGAACCATGTATTATTTGACCTTTTGTCTGCCCTCTTTCACTTACATTGTTTTCAGGGTTCATCTATGTTGTAATATGTATCAGTATTTCATTTATTTTTATGGCTGAATAATAAATGGATATGCCACATTTTGTTTATTCATCAGGCAGTGGACATTTGCATTGTTTCCATTTCTTGGCTATTGACAATAAGAATACCATGAATATTCAGGTACAAGTTTTTGTTTGCAAACCTGTTTTCACTTCTTTTGGGTTTATGCCCAAGAGTAGAATTGTTGGGTCATATCGTACTTTCATGTTTTAACTCTTTGAGGAGCTACTAAACTCTTTTCCACAGAAAGCAGCTGCACAGTTTACATTCCCATCAACAGTGTCTTAAGGGTTCCAGTTTTTGCACATCCTTGCCAACATTTGTTATTTTCTTGCCCCCCAACACCCTCCCCCCCCCTGCCCTTTTTTTTTTTTTTTTTTTTTCTTTCATAACTCTAAGTTTATCCTGCCACTCCCTTCTGGCCTACAGAGTTTCTGCTGAATTATCACCTGTTAACCTTATTGGGATTCCCTTGTAAAATTACTTGTTGCTTTGTCCTTGCTTCTTTTAATGTTTTCACTTGTGTTTGATTTTTTTTTTTTTTT